GCTGAAGCCAAAATCAAGATTTTTAACCAAATGTTGGAACGTTCTAAAAAAGATAAAAAAAAAAAAAAATTAATAATCAAAAAATCGTTTGCTCTTTCGTCTTAATAATGAAAAAAGACGTTGACGATAAAACTTTGTTTTTATTAATTTTAGGTCATACCTTTCATCATGGTATGCTATTTTTTAGCGAATCAATGGAGGTATCTACTTTTACAAATTTCATAAGTATTTTTATTTTATTTTATTTTTATCCTTTTTATATTCAAAGATGAAATTAATTTTGTTATTGTTTAATTCAATTGTTTCATTTTTTAAACGATTGTTTGGTTATTTGTTTTAGTGCATCATTTTACTTGCAATTATTGCCACGTGACGCAAACAATAATCAGTACATTACTGAAACAAATTTGCATTTTATAGTCATCTGTTGTTTATATTAGTGCGAAGACGGTTTGCATTTAAATAACTCACACTCTTTAATCTTTCTGGATCTAACGCAGTTAATCAAATAAGAGCATTGCTCGTGAAATGTAGCCATTCGACCAGATTTTCAATGGGCGGACGTCAACCTTTCTAAGCACCCACTGTATAAAATCTCAGGTTTGGTCGTTTTTCATTTTTCAATCAAATATATCAATAAAAGGATAAGGATGATAGTGTGTGTGTGTGTGTGTGTGTGTGTGTGTGTGTACGAATGCTTTTTTTCGACGGATTATCACCAAGTTTATTTAAATATGCACATGCTCCAAGTTAGCGAGAAGGCCAAGACCGAATTTGGATTTCCCAACTCCCATCGATAGTGGAAATAATCATTTTTTCATGCTTCTACATCAGTTTCGAAGAATGGTTTTCTTCATTTTGTACTATTGAAAATATTCTTCATGGTTGCCACGAATAGGCAGGAAGATTCCCATCTCTCGTGAGAGCCAACAGTTGACTTCCACGTTCTTAATTCTTAGCATGCTAGCATTTATAAAAAAAATCGATAGTGCATTCGTCGTATTATTGGGAAAATTTAAATATGCATGGTTTTTTATTTTGTTTGTTTCATTAGTTCGATAAACTCAATGTTGATTTTGATTTCGCAGAACTGGGTTCTGTTTATTTGTTGTTAACATTTTTTCATAATATTTTTTCAGTTACGAGTCCTTTTTTAAAGCTGATCGTTTTGTTTTCATTTTGTTTAGTTCTTTTTTCTAACAGATTTAATGTTTAGTATAGAACTTAGAAAAAATTCGCAGTGTGAGATAGGCAAGAAGTAAGGCGTAGCAACATCAGCACGGCAAAGGGATCTCCTTTAAAGGCAAGGAAGGGCAAAAATATTTTAAGTCAAGTGATAGCGATTGCTGTATGAGTCGTACGATTTTTGAATCAAGCACGGGCAACACCGGGCCATGCTGTTAGTATTATGATAAACAAACTTTAGCTACAAATGTTTACATAAAATAGACAAAATGGATGCAAAGAAAAGAAAGACTATTGATGATTATATAACGAAAAGAAATGCTGACTTAAGAATTGGTGAATATTAGTATAATCTGAGTTGTTACTGAAATTTCTGGGAGACATAAGGAGGAAGGAGAATCTGATACTCACGGGTCAAATAGAGTGAAAGAGAGACAATGGAAAGCAGTGCGTGACATACCTGAGCGGGTGGATGACAGAACGTGTTCTGGGGGAGGAAGCAGAGGGAAGGAGCCCTGCTGAGAGCTGCAAAGGATAGAGGGAGGTGGAGAGCCATGATCGCCTACGTCTTGAAAGGACATGGCACATAAAAAGAAAAGAATATTACAGTGTAACCCGGATATAAGAGAGTTGGCGGGACCGGTGAAGAAGTCTCTTATATCCGGGTTTATCTTATATCCGGGTTTGGTCTATTTTGTTTAGGTAACACAGGCTTTAATTTGGGACCAGAGAAAATCTCTCTTATATCCGGGTTTCTCTTATATCCGGGTTTCTCTTATATCCGGGTCTCTTATATCCGGGTTACACTGTAGTAAAAAACAAACAAAACGCGCCTTTTTATAGCCATGTAACATTTTTGCCGACGAGTAGTCGTAGCGAATAAGTAGCGAAGTAATCGCTCTAAGGAACGTGGTTAATCGAAATAGGTACTGCGTAATTTGTTGCAATATTTGTATTGAGCAACGATTTACAGTGAAGTGATTTTTCTAGAATTTGTTCTCTGCTCACCAATTCTGACAGCACTGCGGCAGAGTTGAATCGAAGTGGTGTCTAAGCACACATATATTTAGAGAGTTGTACGTAACAGAGTGATATTTATAGAAAATGTTAATTCAGTGCTGAAAAGCAGAGCAAAGAAAAGACATTTCAGATGGTAGCTTCTCTTGAGGATGACTCATAGGGGGGGAGGGAAAGTGCAGTAGGTCGAGCAAAACGTGACACACCGAATGCGTCAGAGGACTTGTTGACAGTCACGTTTAGAGTAGGTCAGAGGTTTTTTTTTTGTTGGTTTTGAAACCCATGATGAGCAGTCGAACAGGGTATGAAAAAACGATCGGGTGAGAAATTTCAAACGGGGAAAAGTGTTATCTGACAAGGATATGAAAAAAATGGGTGGCAGTTGAAGGGTGAAGAGAGAATTTACAATATTTCTAAATTTGGAATTTTTGGAAATCGTGTCTGTCACTGGCTATCTATCTATCTATCTATCTATCTATCTATCTATCTATCTATCTCAGTGTGTTCATATCTATCTATCTATCTATCTATCTATCTATCTATCTATCTCAGTCTGTTCTATCTATCTATCTATCTATCTATCTATCTATCTATCTATCTATCTATCTATCTAAGTGTGTTCATATCTATCTATCTATCTATCTATCTATCTATCTATCTATCTATCATTCTCAGCCTTTTCATATCTATCAATATATCTCAATATCTATCTATAATTCTTAGTCTTTTCATATCTATCTATCTAGCAGTCTGGGCATATCTATCTATCTATCTATCTATCTATCTATCTATCTATCTATCTATCTATCTATCTCCAATAGTATCTCGATGCATAACATTTGATATTTTTAATAAACAAAAAGTCTTTGTGGCTACAAAAATGCTTGTTTGTTATATTTCTTTGTTTTTTTTCTACTTGTTTTACTGAAAACATTTCGCTCCTGATTTTACACTTGGCTCATTTTCAAAAACAGACAAAACTGTCATTCACATAAAACGACTGCCATCCTTTGTTGCTCCAAGTGCTCTTGACTATAAATCGGGGTGTGTCCGCGAATACGGCATTTGAAATAATTAGCGTAATGAATAAAATGTCACTTAATAACCATTCATTTCTTCTAATACGCAATAAGCATAAATGAAACAATTATAGATGCGTTTCTGTATTGGTGAACGTTAATTTTTAACACTTGCCTTGAATTTCTATATTCCCTCTCGAATAACTCCAGATGCTTTCTCTATACGAAGCATAATCGGGGACTGTTGCTATGGTAACCTAGCTAAAGTGTGCGGAGTGAAGCCGCTTGGTGTACATAGACGCTGAACTCTGCCGCGCATGCGCACTAATTCATAACCTTCTCGCTCACTTCCGTTGTTTATAGTAGCGCTTGGAAGAAAAATGTATATAGAGTGTTGTCGTCTCACCACAACCGCAGAGGTTCCATCAGTGACCATGGCTTGTAGAGCACAGCATTCCCCAGGTCAGACAACCACCATATTCCACCAGATCTCTCACCTTGCGACTTTTTCTCCTTGTCAAAAATCAAACCCCACTTGGAAGGAAAAAGATTTCGAGATCTCAAGGAAATGCAAGCGTGTCGCTCCAGACTACCTCGAAGGAGATTAAACACCGAATTGATATGTATTGTAGTTTTGTTTTTATAGCACCGTTTCTGATACCAATATATCTACTGAGCTAACACAAGAGAACAATGTTTAAATGCATCACTTGAGGGCGGTGGTCACTGTACGTAGACAGCAGATATGCTTTCTTGAAAGACCACTTACACATAGAGCGCTTTAATTTAATTGCCAGTTATAAAGATGTACGTTGTCATGGATATCGGCTCGGAATGAGAACTCGGACAGCCGAGTTCGAATTCCAGTCGAGTTTGTTATATTCACTTACGCGCAAATACCCTTGAGAATCCAGCTTTTCCCCAGCTATGGGTTAAATAGCAGTACAGACTGGTTGGCAACAGGTCTACCACAGAAAGAAAGTTGTTTGGAGCGGGAAAAATCTTCTGCCTCGTCAGTGCTCAAGCGTGTATCTCGTGTGGTACTTAACTAACTGAGTTCTAAAGATTGTGGCTCAAAACGAAGGGTTCTCGTAGATTTCTTCTGCAAATTATGGGCCTTTCTTTATTTCGCCTACAGTTTGCAAATTAATATTTAAATAGAAAATAGATGTTTCAAAATTAGGCCTTAATTAATTAATGATTTATTAATCTGGTATTTTATTAATCTTTATTAATTTAGAATTTTATTAATATTTTATTAACCTGATATTAATTTTGTCTAGTATTTGATTAATAAATCTACTAGTGACTATTATAGTCACGAGTACATTGACAAATGTTTCTTTCATCCTTTTCCCTCTTTCTACCTACCTACTTATCTACTTATATGCACTGTGTTTTAGATACTGGCTCCAAACATATTACTGACAGGAGAAAGACATATATTGGAAAATAGACAAAAATGAAATGAAAGGAAAGTAGGCTTAGTAATCCGAGACAAGACTGTGGCCCATTTTGTGACGTGGTAGAATAAAGAAATCGAAAAGAAATTGTGCTTAGAAAAATATGAAATTGTCCCTCACAATAGTAGCCGGCTAGAATTTCAAACAGTGTCTCTCAAGGTAGACGGGCGGCCTCCCCTTGCGAGTCTGGTGTAAAAACATCTATCCTTATTTTTCCTATCTAGCTTTGCGTCCTATTAATAGAGATTTAGTCAATATCTACATGGGAAAACAATATATATTTTTTTATATATCACGAACACTGTTAAAGAAAAAATTATGGCAAAATGGAAAAAGAGATAGATGTATAGATAGATAGGTAGAGAGAGAGAGAGAGAGAGAGAGAGAGAGAGAGAGAGAGAGAGAGAGAATTAATGAACAGACTAAAATAGATAGATAGATAGATAGATAGATAATGAACAGATTGAAATAGATAGTTCAAAAGAAAATAAACAGACTGGGATAGATAGATACATAATGAACCAGCTGATATAGATGGATTGACAGAGAGATAAGAAACAGACTGAAATAGATAGATAGATAGATAGATAAGGAAGAGACTGAAATAGCTAGCTAGATAGCTAGCTAGATAGATAAAGAACAGACTAAAGTAGATAGATAGGTAGATAGATAGATAAGGAACAGACTGAAATAGATAGATATATAGATAGATAAGGAACAGACTGAAATAAATAAATAGATAGATAGATAGATAGATAGATAAAGGAACAAACTGAGATAGATAAATAAAGAACAGACTTAGGTAGATAGATAGATAATTAACAGTCTGAAATAGATAGATAGATAGATAATGAACAGACAGAAATAAATAAATAGATAGATATGTAATGAACAGACTGAAATAGATAGATTAAGAACAGATAGATAGATAGGAGAATATGATATATAAGTTTTAATATATCTGAACAATGCTAAGTAAATTAATGACAAACTGGAAAATTTCTGCGTGCCGCATTTTTACTCCCCTTCCTACTCATACGTTGTTCCATCAACAAAAAATAATTGTTTTAGTCTGATGAAGTTTTAAATGACGAAACGTGTCACAGGAAAATATTTTTTTTCCACTTTGGCATAGTTTTTTTTTCAATATATACATGACATGAACTTAGAAGAGGCACAAATGTACACCTATGTTCTATTTGACATCGAATTTCAGTTTTAATGATTACATTGAAAGCATCATCATCATCATCATCATCAGTCCTGTGTCCAGTTGTAGTTATCAAGTCTCCACCCAACCAAACCCTTGACTACCCAGCTAACACGAAATGTTCTTACAACGTTGCAGACTCGTTGTATGTTGGTTTGGAGACATGCAGCATTTTAGCGACGCATTGGAATAGCCAAAGATGCATTCGGAAAGCTAGGCAGAGACAGAAAAAAAAACATCGTTAGAAACAGAGAAAAGACAACTGAACTGTTGCATGATAGCTGTCCTCCTATATGGCAGTGAATGCTAGACAATTTCCTCAATGAGGAAGAGACTTGAGGCAATAGAAATGTTGTTCTAAAGACGGATACTGAGGATACCATGGACCAAATATGTGAGCAATGACGAGGTCTTAGAGAAAATGGAACTGAAAGGAAATTTTTCCTAAACATTAGGAAATGACTGTTGAAATTTCTGGGCCACATAATGAGTGCTTGAAAAATCTGATACTCACGAGAGAGGTTGAAGGCAAGATGGACAGCGGAAACGGCGCATATCATTAGGTTGGTGCAAAAATAATGTCGTTTTCTCACATATGTTACTTTTTATATATGATTTCTGAATTAATTCATTGATATATATATATATATATATATATATATATATATATATATATATATATATATATCGCCATGTTATATATCATTTTGAAGCGCGTTTTTCGCTCTATCGAATCGTGTTATTCGTTACCGTTCTCAATCTCTTTCATTTTTTTTGCAGGCTTTTCGACAGCATGGACAAAATTCAATTTTCTTGTTCCAGTTCAAACTAGGCCGAAAAGCTGCCGTGACAGCTCGTGATATCAATGATACGTTTGGCCCAGGAACCACCAACGAACGTGTGGCACAACGGGGGTTCAAGCAATTTCGCAATGGTGACGAGAGCCTCGAAGATGAAGACGGTCGCGGCCGGCCGACTGCGGTTGATAACGAACATTTGAAAGCCTTAATTGAAGCCGATCCTCGCAAAACCACACGAGAAGTTGCTGTTGAACTCGAGGTCGACCACTCAACAGTCGTTCGCCATTTAAAGCAAATAGGGAAGTCAAAAAAGTTGGATAAATGGGTGCCGCATGTATTGAACGATAATCAAAAAAATCGTCGTTTTGAGGTGTCTTCTACGCTCATTCTGCGCAACAAAAACGACCCATTTGTCGAGCGGATTGTGACGTGTGATGAGAAGTGGATCCTCTACGACAACCGGCGACGTTCAGCACAGTGGTTGGATGCCGGAGAAGCTCCACAACACTACCCGAAGCCGAAATTGCACCAAAAAAAGGTTATGGTGACTGTTTGGTGGTCTGCGGCCAGTCTCATCCATCACAACTTCTTGAATCCGGGCAAAACGATTACGGCGGAGAAGTACTGCCGACAAATTGACGAAATGCACCAGAAGCTCCAACGTATGTGCCCGAGATTGGTCAATATGAAGGGACCAATTCTCCTCCATGACAACGCTCGCCCGCATGTTGCTCAACTGACCCTGCAGAAGCTGAACGAATTGGGCTACGAGACTCTGCCTCATCCGCCATATTCACCGGACCTCTCGCCCACCGATTATCACTTTTTCAAGCATCTCGACAACTTCCTGCGCGAAAAATGCTTCAAAAGCCAAGATGATGCCGAATCGGCCTTCAATGACTTCATCGCTTCCAGAACTCCAGATTTCTATGCTAATGGGATAAATAAACTTGTTTCTCGTTGGCAAAAATGTGTCGATTCTAATGGTTCTTATTTCGATTTATAAAGTTTATTATGAAAGGAGTTATGATCTTTTGAAGTTGAACGTCAAAAAACGACATTATTTTTGCACCAACCTAATATATGTTGTAACAAACCTACGGACGATAATGCGTATGTCCCCATTCACATAAAGACAGTAGTAATTACTGTATGTTGGTCTGCAGTTAGAGATTCGTCTCCAGCTGTGCTGGCCAAACTCTTTGCCTCCGGGCAGAGAGGATCCCCAGCCGAGGCTATGTAGAAGGGCAGAATCTCGACTCGGGAATCAGATACCTGACCCTGTTTCATACCGTGTCCACGGTGAATTTTTGGCCGAGCCTACGGGATCGGTTCTCCACCTTAAATTCGGCCTTGTGGAGATTCGTCTCCAGCTGTGCTGGTCAAACTCTCTGTCTCCGGGCTGAGAGGATCCACAGACGAGGCTATGTCGAACGGCAGAGTCTCGTCTCCTGAAAAAGCTATCCGACCCAGTTTTATACGGGGTCTACGGACTCCGAAACCCCACTTTAAATTCGGCCTTGTGCCACATCTGACAGCGTGGGGCGGTTGGCAGATATCCTGCATTTGGAGATTCATTGTGGAATTCACTTGGCTCACTTCTAGCAGTTGAAAACTTCTTCTACACGCCGCTGGCGAATCTTATATGTGTTGTTCGTGTCCTAAGTATTATCGTTCATTACCATGTGATTATTCTATTCAGTAACCTTTCCTACATTATAACAATATATATAATGGGTTTAAGCAAATGTAGTGCGGGACAGGGTTTAGGAGAAATAACGAAAAGATAAAATGGACAGGGATTTGTGGAGAGCAATAACTGGCCTTCGTCCTGGTGTGTGTGTGTGTGGAGGTGGGTACAGCACATAAAGTAGAAGTATTCGTAGGTTGACCTGACGTAAAGAATAACTATTAAAAGTGAAAAAGAAAATCATTAAATGTTTATGGTCAGCGACGGTATTAAAATGGCTGGGTGGGGGGAGAGATAAATGTACCTCATCCTTTCAACTTATTACCATATTCACGATATGATAGCACTTTGATAATAAGTGAAAAACAGACAAAGACATATAATTGTTTACATTATTTATATTCGGACTGTTGTCCTCATCTTTGTTGTTGTTATCACAACGTTTCGGTTGTTGCGCGCTCCAGCCTTCATCCGGTTTATATCGATCCGGGTAACCTACAACGAATTTTGAACAGAACCCTTTATTTATTCTACGAGGTTGGGCTGTTCTCGTTCCGCTGCTCATGTCTAGTTCTTATTTTTTATTTAGCACTGTCAAGTTGGTGCCCGACCCAGGGGTTGAACTCACAACCACTACGTCAAAACGATATCCCTAGACATTACCATAAAAGTAAGAGAAAAGGTACAGGGAAGTTAGGTTATGGCAGTGAGAAAAGCCGAAATGCCAGGTCAGAACATTGCAGATTCTTCTTTGGATGTTATCAAGAATCTCCACATATATAGCAAGAATATATGGCTAGTTTGCAGTGTAGGACCCGCGCCCATTTTCTATTAAAAAATTCCCAAAATTGTTTCATTTATGTGTAAATGTCCATGCTTAAAGCGAAAAGAACGACGATAATTTGATAAATTCTATTGTTTGGGAATTTCGGACTCATTCACTTCGTTGGCGGCTACGGCATGGCAGCAAACAACGTAGTAATGGCTGCCGCCATGATGCGAATGAGTCCGAACTTTTACTGTCGTTGAGAACAAAACGGTAGATTTTATCAAATTATCGTAGTTATTTTCGAATTAAGCATAATATATTTACATGTAAATTTAACAACTGAGCGCTGGTCCTACACTGCAAATTCGTTGAAAATATATTCTTGCATAAGTATTTGGTGACTTGCATTGATAATCTTTTTTTTTTTCCAGAATGAAATGTGGATTTCCAAATGTTTTCTGGACTTCTGCAATGAATCAAAATAGCAGACGGCGAAAACGGAAAATTAGGAAGGCGAAAAAAACAAACAAAAAAAAACATTCACGTAAGTTTGCCAAAAATGAATTCATAAGATTTTAGCATCACAGGCAAAGCAATACGCAGGGGAGACGATTTAAGTTATTAGAATCATCCGTGAGAAAATAAAACTCAACACTATTTCAAGAGCTCCAGGCTTGACTCTCTGAACTCGTTAATGCTCATTCCCCAAAAAAAAAAAAAAAAAATAAAAAAAAAAATAAAAATAAATAAATAAAAATAAATAAATAAAAAAATCAGTATAAAAGGCTGACATTTTGACAAGAAGAGCCAAAGTCATTTCAATACCACGTTAATACTGACACAAGGTATTGAAAAAATTGTATTTCTCTTGGACTATAGAAATCTAATCAGATAAAAAAGAAAAAAAATATGATGAAAGGGCAAAATACTGCCAAAAAAACTCAACATTCAACATACATGGGAAGAAGTTCAAAAGAAATAACGGCCAAAACGCAACAGAGAAAAATGAAAACAATATTTGTCTATATTTCCAAGATTAGCTATTGTAACTATATTGTTCAGACTATTGATCTAACATTTATTGTCACTGGTTAGATATAGCTTGTCTATATTTCTGAGATTAGGTATTGTAACTATTTATAGTATTTACATTGTTTAGACTATTGATCTCATTTTTATTGCCCCTGGTTAGATATAGATTGTATATTTTTTGAGATTAGCTTTTGTAACTATTTACACTATTTACATCATTCAGACTATGATCTCATCTTTATTGTTCCTGGTTAGATATAGCTTGTCTATATTTCTGAGATTAGGTATTGTAACTATTTATACTAATTATATTGTTCAGACTATTGATCTCATCTTTATTGTTACTTGTTAGATATAGCTAGTCTATATTTCTGAGATTAGATATTTTAATTATTTACACTATTTACATTGATCAGACTATTGATCTCATCTTTATTGTCACTGGTTAGATATTGTTTGCTATATTTCTGAGATTACGTATTGTAATTATTTACAGTATTTACATTGTTCAGACTATTGATCTAACATTTATTGTCATTGGTTAGATATAGCTTGTCTATATTTCTGAGATTACGTATTGTAACTATTTATACTATTTACATTGTTCAGACTATTGATCTAATATTTATTGTCACTGGTTAGATGTAGCTTGTCTATATTTCTGAGATTAGGTATTGTACCTATTAATACTATTTACATTGTTCAGACTATAGATCTCATCTTAATTGTTCTTGGTTAGATATAGCTTGTCTACATTTCTGAGATTAGGTAATGTAACGATTTATACCATTTACATTGTTCAGACTATTGATATAACATTTATTGTCACTGGTTAGATATAGCTTGTCTATATTTCTGTGATTAGGTATTGTAACTATTTACACTATTTACATTGTTCAGACTATTGATCTCATCTTTATTGTTACTGGTTGGACATAGCTTGTCTACATTTCCAAGATTAGGTATTGTAACTATTTATACTATTTATATTGTTCAGACTATTGATCTCATTTTTATTGTTACTCGTTAGATATAGCTAGTCTATATTTCTGAGATTAGGTATTGTAACTATTTATACTATTTACATTGTTCAGGCTATTGATCTAACATTTATTGTCACTGGTTACATATAGCTTGTCTATATTTCTGAGATTAGGTATTGTAACAATTTACACTATTTACATTGTTCAGACTATTGATCTCATCTTTATAGTTACTGGTTAGATAGAGACTGACTACATTATTGAGATAAGATATTGTAACTATTTACACTATTTACATTGTTCAAACTATTGATCTCAAATTTATTGCCAGTGGTAAGATATAGTTTGTCTATATTTCTGAGATTAGATATTGTGACTATTTACACTATTTACATTGTTCAGACTATGGATTTCATCTTTATTTTTACTCGTTAGATATAGTTCGTCTATATTTCTGAGATTAGGTATTGTAACTATTTATACTATTTACATTGTTCAGACTATTGATCGCATCTTTATTGTCCCTGGTTAGATATAGCTTGTCTATATTTCTGAGATTAGGTATTGTAACTATTTATACTAATTATATTGTTTAGTCTATTGATCCCATCTTTATTGACAATGGTTAGATATAGTATGTCTATATTTCTGAGATCAGGTATTGTAACTATTTTCAATATATACATTGTTTAGACTATTAATCTCATCTTTATTGTTACTCGTTAGATATAGCTTCTCTATACATCTGAGATTAGGTATTGTAACTATTTATACTATTTACATTGTTCAGACTATTGATCTAACATTCATTGTCACTGGTTAGATATATCTTGTTTATATTTCTGAGATTTTGTATTGTAACTATTTATACTTGTCTATATTTCTGAGATTACGTATTATAAGTATTTACACTATTTACATTGTTCAGACTATTGATCTCATCTTTATTGTTACTGGACATAGCTTGTCTACATTTCTAATATTAGGTATTGTAACTATTTACACTATTTACCTTGTTCAGACTATTGATCTCAACTTTTTTGTTACGGCTTATATATATAGCTTGTGTATATTTCTGAGATTACGTCCTGTAACTATTTACACTATTTACATTGTTCAGACTATTGATCTCATCTTTATTCTTACTCATTAGATATAGCTTGTCTATATTTCTGAGAACAATGTAAATAGTGTAAATAGTTACAATACCTTATTTCAGAAATATAGACAAACTATATCTAACCAGTAACAATAAAAATGAGATCAATAATCTGAACAATGTAAATAAGTTATTGTAACTTTTTACACTCTTTACCTTGTTCAGACTATTGATCTCATCTTTATTATTACTGCTTAGATATAGCTTGACTATATTTCTGAGATCAGTTTTTGTAACTATTTACACTATTTACATTGTTCAGACTTCTGATCTTTATCTTTATTGTTACTGGTTAGATATAGCTTGTCTATATTTCTGAAATAAAGTATTTCCCCTATTTATACTATTTACATTTTCCAGACTATTGATCTCATCTTTATTGTTACTGGTTAAAAATAGCTTGTCGATATTCCTGAGATTACGTATTGTAACTATTTTTACACTATTTACTTTGTTCAGACTATTGATCTCAACTTTATTGTTACTGGTTAGATATAGCTTGTGTATATTTCTGAGATTACGTATTGTAACTATTTATACTATTTACATTGTTCAGACTATTGATCTCCTTTCTATTGTTACTGGTTAGATATAGCTTGTCTATATTTCTGAAATAAGGTATTGTAACTATTTACACTATTTACATTGTTCAGACTATTGATCTCATCTTTATTGTCCCTTTTAAGATATAGCTTTCCATATTTCTGAGGTTAGGCATTGTAATTATTTACACTATTTGCAGTCTTTGGATTGTTGCCTTCATCTTTATTCCAATATTCATGACACTTCGGTCGTTGTGCGCTCAGTCCTTCTTCAGGTGATTGGAATTTCGAACTGAACCTGTTAATTCGTCCACTGCGGTAGATTGTTCTAGTTCCACATGTCATGCGTCTTCTGGTTTCAGTTATTTACCTTCAGTAACTCACCTCTCCATGTTACTATTCATTTCTGCTGTGGTCAGTTATTGAACTCACATGTCACTGGATTACTTCAAAGAATGCCATGTGCCCTTTGGTTCGAAATTCCAATCACCTGAAGGAGTCCAGAGCATAAAACGGCCGAAACGTCGTGAATATGGCAATAAAGTTAAGGACAACAGTCCGAATAATTTATATAATTAAAATATGTCATCTCAGAAATATACATATATATATTAATTTTGTAATGATCGTTTGTAGGAGAGACTTTCTAAATCAAGTAATACAACAATAGTAAGGCCTTCGAACGATACTAGGTCAGATGCCGTTAATTTCCATTTATATATATATATATATATATATATATATATATATATATATATATATATATATATATATATATATATATATATATATATATATAATTTATCCGTCACGTGATCTAATTATTTCAAGATGAGGTCAACTTTGCTTGCTCTCGGTCAATCCGTGTTCAAATCCAAGTGTCTGTAGCGACACTTTATTTCTGTATGACATAGAGAAAAATTACCATGCGAGGAACGAAACACGTTGGCATAAAAGGTTTTCCTTGTTGTCATTTCTTTTTTTATTTTCGTTTTTTTTTTTAATTCTGTTTTTACCTTGCGAAATGTATTTAAAAATGCTACTATTTATTACATAAAGGTGTAACATATGTCATGTAACATAAAAGCGTAACATATCTGTTACGTACAGTTAATATATTATTTTTCTCTATAATATTGTTATTCCTAACAACTATATCGATGACAAAATTGAATCTTTCTCGAGTAATCTGTGTTTTTTTTATATATAAATCTGTGTTTTGTGTCTAAAAGAGAAAAAAATGTATGCTGAATTTTAGCCTTAGTAAAATAAGTTTACCGTTGAAAAACTTAAATATGGAAGCACGTGTGATGTTTAATACTACAAAATTAATAAAAAAAATATTAATAAGAATGCTGTTATGTAAAGTTAATGTTATAATTAAATTTAATAAATTTAATCTGATATTTTTAAATATTGTAAATCAAGTTTAGAATACCTTAACTCCAAACCTGCAGCTAAAACACGCATTTTTCAGAGTCAATTTTTTTCTAGGTTCTTCTATAATCATAAAAAAAGCATATTTATGACAAAATAAGTAAGAGTAACAATAATTACTTTATTCCCAAACAATAGATAAATAGAATAAAAATAGTTATTTTCATATTTATTTTATTTCATGTCATAATTTTGTTCCATAAATTATAGTTCCGGTACAGGTTTTATTTCATTAGAAATGTTTTAACGTGGATAATTAAATCAAAGATTTAAAGGCATATAATATTACGTGCGCATTTGTTAAAGGGGTGATCTGAACCCCAGCCAAATTATGCATTAATTGTAATAAGATCTTATACTATACCAAGATAAATAGGATTAAGTTTT